CAATGGGAACAGCTATTTAGAAAACACGTGAAAGTTCAGCATGCCAAGCACCCTTGCGATAAATACATGGGGTGGCGGATCGAAGACGCCCTCGGGGAATCACCGCCTCCCTCTGCCTTTTGGAAGCGCCCACGCGGCCAAACGTTGGGCCGAAGTCTGGCCAAGCTATTAGGCTGTGTGTTCCTCCAGCCGGTGTGGAGCCCCTTGGGGGGAACATTTGGGAGAGGAAGAGAATGAGGAAGGAGAGGGAGGAGAAGGACGAGGAGGAGGAGGAGGAGGAGGAGGAAGAAGAGGAGGCCTCTTGAGGCCCTCTTGGAGCCTCCTGGGCGGGTCCTCGACGCATCTTGGGAGCCTCGTGGGGCCTCCTGAGGCCTCTTGGGGATCCCCTAGGCCTCTTGAGGGCCTCTTGGGCGCTTTTCGGGGCCTCTACGGAACCTCTGGGGGGGCCATCTTTGGGCAGTCGTGGATGCCTCTCTGGGCGCTTCAGGGCCGTCTTGGAGGTCTACGGGGCCGTCTTGGCAGCCTCTGGGGCTGTCTTTGGGCCCTGTTGGACCGTATTGCGGGCCACCTCGGGAGCCTTTGGGGCCCGTCTTGGGGCAATCTTGGGGACGCACCGGAAGTCCGAAACGGCGAGAACGCTGAAATCATTGAAACGTTTGCGGAATATCAATGATGTGGGCTTCCCGGAGGGCCATCTTGGCCGTCTTGCAGGCGTCTTGGGACCGTCTTGGAAGCCATCTTGGCCGTCTAGGAGGCATCCTGGGGGTCATCCTAGCCGTCTTGGAGGCCCTGTTTGGCCGCCTTCAGCTGGAAAACCGATGGAATATGCAATTTGGGTGGCTTCTGGGTGGCCAGCGCGAACCTTTAAATGACGCAACGCGCTCAGACATTTGGCACGCCGCGCACCCGCGCGTTAAGCCACACATGGCGGCGGATCGAAGGCGCCTGTTGGAATCGCCCATGTGGCTGAGCGTGGTGGCAAGAGCTCTGCAAAGCTATCGGACCATGTGTTCCCCCAGCCGGTGTGGAAACCCTTCGGGGAACACTTGGGGGAGGATGGCGGGGAGGATCAGAAGGAGGAGGAGGAAAAAGGAGGGGGCCTCTTGGGAGCTTTTGGGGGGCACTCCTGGGGCCTCCTGGGAGCTTCCTGGGAGCCTCTTGGAGGCACCTTGGGAGCCTCCTTGGGCCTCTTGGGGAGCCTTGGGGGGCCTTCTCGGGGGCCTCCTTGGACGTCTTAGGGCATTCCTGGCCCGTCTGACGCCGTCGGAAGCCGTCTTGGGGCCCCCGCTGGGCCGACTCAGGGCCCTCTTGGGGTGCTTCAGGACCGTCTTGGAGGCCATCTTGGGCGCCTTGGGGCCCTCTTGGGCCGTCTGGGGACCGTCTTCGGGGCCTCTAGGGCCGTTCTGGGGTCCTTTGGGAGGCCTTTGGGGCCATCTTGGGGCGATCTCGGGGGTCTCTTGGGCGATCGTGGGGCGATCTTTGGGGGCTCTTGGGCCGTCTCGGGCTGTCGGAAGGCCGAAAAGAAGCAAATGCCAGATTCCTTCAAAAAACCATGACAAATCAATGACTTGGACATCTTCGGGCCTTCCTGGAGGCCCTCTTGAAGTCCCCTTGGACCGTCTTGGAGACCTCTTGGGGTCTTCTTGGGACGTATTGGGCCATCTTAGAGACAGCTTGGGCCGTCTTGGTGGCCTCCTGGCCCGTCCGACGCCGTCGGAAGCCGCCTTGGGGGCCTCTCGGGGCCGTTGTATGGCCCTCTTGGGGTGCTCCAGGGCCGTCTTGGAGGCCATCTTGGGCGCCTTGAAGGCCTCTTGGGCCGTCTTGGGGCCCTCTTGGGGCCGTCTTGGAGGGCTCTTGGGCCGTCATGAGGTCATCTGGGAGGCCTTCGGAGCCATCTTGGGGCGATCTCGGGGGCATCGAGCGGTAGTGAACCCCCCCCCTCGGTTTTCCGTAGGCGGGGGGGAGGGGTTAGGGGGGGGTTTTGCCGGGAGAAGGGAAGGGGGGGGGGTCGAGCAGGGAGGGGGATTTTCGGAGGGGGGGACCCCCGGGTAGGAAGAGGGGGAGGAATTTTCCACAGTAAAGTTGCCGTGGATCACGCTCTTCCGGAGAAGCACATGGCAAAATCTTTTAAACAAACCCAGGACAATCAATGATTTGGGCCTCTTCGGGCCTTCCTGGAGGCCCTCTTGGAGTTCTCTTGGGCCGTCTTGGAGACCTCTTGGGGGCTTATTGGGCCGTCTTGGGTAGGGCCATCTTGGGCCGTCTTGGTGGGCTCCTGGCCCGTCTGACGCCGTCGGAAGCCGCCTTGGGGGCCTCTCTGGGCCGCTGTACGGCCCTCTTGGGGTGCTCCAAGGTCGTCTTTGGGCGCCATCTGGGAGGCCTTTGGGGCCATCTTGGGGCGATCTCGGGTGCCTCCTGGGCGATATTTGGGGGCTCTTGGGCAGTCTCGGGCTGTCGGAAGACCGAAAAGAAGCAAATGCCAGATTTTTTTTTAAACCATGGAAAATCAATGACTCAGGCATTTTCGGGCCTTCCTGGAGGCCCTCTTGGAGTCCTCTTGGGCGGTCTTGGAGACCTTGGGGGCCTCTTGGGCCGTCTTGGGGCCTTCTTGGGGCCGTGTTGGGGGCCTCTCTGGGCCGTCATGAGGTCATCTGGGAGGCCTGTGGGGCCATCTTGGGGCGATCTCGGGGGCCTCTTGGGCCGTCTTGGGCCGTCGGAAGGCCGAAAATTAGAAAATGCCAAAATGTTTCGAACATCTACGGGCAACCCATGATTTGTGCCTCTTCGGGCCTTCCTGGAGGTCTTCTTGGGGGCGTCTTGGGAGCCTCTTGGGCAGTCTTGGAGGTTTCTTGGGCAGACTCGGAGCCATCCTGGGCCGTCTTGGTGGCTTCTTCGGCGGACTTGGAGGCAACTTGGACCATATTGGGCTATCCTGGAGGCCATCCTGGAGGCCATCTTGGGCCAACGTGACCATCTTAGATCGGGTATAGCCAGGGCCCAGGGTAAGGGGACCCTGTTAGTGGTAGGGACTTGGGGCCCCTCAATTGGCCAGATTCACCACACCAGGTTTGCCGTAACCGGTGTTTTCCGGGTGGCGGCAGTTCCGGTTCGTGGAGATGGGACGGGGGGGCGCCCCCGGTACAAATCGCTAAACCAGGTTCCATTAAACCCAGTTTTGCCAACGCCCGATTAGAAGCCATCTTGATCCGTATTGGGGGACTTTTTTTCTTGACGTTGTGCTCGTGTGTGCGGCCTTCCGGGTGGCCGGCGGCGTGCACCAGAACCCCAGCGGAAGTTCTTCTGGAAGAAGAAGAAGAAGACGAAACACCAAAAAGAAGAAGAAGAAGAAGAAGAAGTTCTTCTGGAAGAAGAAGCAGAAACACCAAAACCAAGCCGTATAGCGGTTAGCACGCCAGGCACCCTTGTGACAAGCACAGGGGGCGGCGGATTTAGCGGCTTTCGGCCCATCCCGCTACCGCCATTGGGATGTAGGTCAGAGGCCTCTTAAATGCAGGTCTGTCAGGAGGGGAAAAAAAACACACAGACACAATTAATCGTCCACTCCCAGGAAAATATAGGAAAATATGGGAAGTGGGGGGGGAAGACAAAAACCCAGAAAATATGCGAAAATATGGGGAATCTTTTTATTTGTGTGTATTTATTTGTGTGTCCTGGGGCCCCTTCAGTCTGGGGATCTCTTGGAAGGCCTCTCCGAAGTCTCTTGGAGGCGGTGTGGGGGTGTCTTGGGGGCTTCTTTGGGGGCGTTTGGGGGTCTGATTTGGGCCTTCTGTGGGGGACTACTGGGGATTTGAGGGGCAACTCCGGGGCCTGTTAGTGGTCCCCGGGAACTTTAGGGGGCGGAGGGCTCGAAATGTCGGTTCATGTTCCCTTCTTGAGGTTCTCTTGGGGCCCTCTTGTGTCGTCTTGACGCCATTTTGGGCGTCTGCAAGTGCTCTTGGGTCGTTTCGGGGCGTTCTTCCACCGTCTCGGGGACCGTTGGGGACCATCTCGGCCCGTCTCAGGGCCTCCAGGCTCGGGAGAAGTCACGCGGGAATACGCCCCAAATCCCAAGAGCGCCCGAGAACGTTCAGGATCGCTTGGAATTCGGGGCTGTGGAAGAGTAGTCTTGATTCTACGCAGAGGGTTCTTGGAGTTTTGAGGGCACTCAACTTCGTGTCTCTGGGGGCACAGTGGCGGATTACAAGGACATCGTGCGCATCGAAGACCATAAGGTGACCGCTACGCGCACGGTGCCAGGTCCAACAGCGGAACGCAGCTTTTGGCATGGCCGCGAGATTCCAGGGATGCGTTCTCACATCTTCTTGATGACGCATGGTGGTGAGCAGACTAAGGCCGCTGTGGGCCTGAGCAAAGTGAACAACTTCGAAGCAGAATTGGTGGTATACCTCGCGTACTACTTGGTTTCGTGTGGCACGCCGCGCCCATCCATCGTCATAATCACACCGTACAAGGGGCAACTCATGCTCATCCGCAACATGCTCCTCAAGGATAAAACGAAGGACCGATTGCTGTCGTACGACAACACGGAGAAGGACCAGATTCGCGTGTCGACAGTCGATCGTTTTCAGGGCGACGAGGCGGACGTCGTTATCGTCTCGCTGGTCGTGGACGAGAACTCGAGAACTCCCTTCGTGAAGTTGGTCAACCGCATGATCGTGCTGCTGTCTCGCGCGCGTTTGGGTTTGTACGTGCTGGGGAACGTCAAGTACTTCGAGAGCCAGAAAGGACCTCAGTATCCTTTAAACGATCCCCATCCCCATCCCCATCCCCTTCGAGACCCCCACCAAATTACCACCCCAGTTGGGGATACACCCCTCGAAACCCGAAGGGAACGACATATCCCCACCTAGGGGGGCAAGTCGGCCAGTGGGGCCCAGGCCACGCCGCTGGGGATGGGGATCGGTTAAACGATACTCAGGACCGCACGGCGCAGCGGGCGTTGAACATTGGATGAAGACTTTCGACATTCTGCAGAAGCCGCCCCAAAGCAGCGACAACGACGAGGAGCAGAGGGTTGTAGACCCGTTGGCGCACCTTGCGGTTGCCGGCGGCGACGGGGCCGATCCTCCCAGGCCGCCGGCTGAGCCGCAGACTATCGCGCTGACGGATGCCTTGTTCACTGAGCCACGTGTCGGCTCCAAGTTGCCACTGTGCTGCCCACAGCATCCGCGATTGTGTGGCAAATGCGTGGACAAGCCGAAAGATTTGATGTTGGGTTTCTGTGCAGTGCCTTGCGAGGTGAAGTTGCCGTGCACACACGCGTGCGGCATGAAGTGCCACTGGCCGCAGACGAAGCACGAGCGCAACTGCAAGGTCAAAGTGACCTCGCCGTGCTCGTACCATCCCGACGAAGTGACTTGCCGTTCAGTGTACGACAACAGCACTGCCGACCTGTACACCGACCCTACTATAGCCAATGCCCTGCAGCACTATCGCTGCCCTGCTCCAGTGTCTGTGACGCTCCCTTGCACGCACGAAAAGGACATGCCGTGTTGCGAGGAGACAGCTATCCGAGAACGTGGGGCTGCTTACCCACGGTGCGTGCGAGAGTCGCCACAGCCGTATGTCTACCCAGCCTGCCGGCACGAGAAGAGCGCCACGTGCGACAAGTTTGCGGAGTACACGAGGGACCCGACGTCGGCGCCGAAGTGCGTGGAGCTCGTGACTTACTGCCCGCTTACGTGTGACCACACGCGGCAAGTGAAGTGCCATCAGGAGCAGGATTACCGCGGCGGCAGGGCGTCTTACCAATGTCCACAGAAGGTGAAGGTGCCGCTGCCACGCTGTGGGCACGAGCACACAGTAGCGTGCGCGAAAGCCAGGGAGCTGGATCAGTGGCAGGGTGCGAGAAGCAGAGAGCAGGACGTCGTGGAGGAGAACAGTACCTACGGCCCGAAGGACTACCAATGCCGTCAGAAGGTCACGTTCAAGCGCGCTTGCGGCCATGAGGTGTTGGATGTCGCCTGCGAAGAAGCGTTCTTGTGGGCTGCCAACGGGCCGCCGCCATGCATGGAGAAAGTTACTCGCCCGAGCCCATACTGCCAGCATGCGTGCGAGATCACCTGCCACGAGGCGATGGGTCTGAGGGATATGGCCCCAGTGGCGAGCGCACCGGTGGAGGTGGTGCACGAGGGCTCGGTGGAGTCGATGCCACCTGGGCTTCCGCGGGCCATGGCCGAGTGCAAGACGATGGTCATGATGCGCCGCAGGTGCGGACACTCAAAACAAATGCAGTGCCACAGGGCCTCGCGAATTCCAGACAAGTGTACTGAGGAGAAGTCGATGCAGAGTCCGCTCTGTGGCCACGAGATCAGAGTTCCTTGTCACTTACAGGCCACTTTGCACAAGTGGGCCCCGTGGAGCGACGACGTGCTGGGCACGCTCAGCAGTGAAGAGCGCTTACCGACCAGAGCAAAGCCGACGGGCCCAGCACCGTCCGAGGCACCGCTGCTGAATTGCTTGAAGGCGTGCAAACGGCACGTGATGGTGGAGAAGCCATGCGGCCATGAAACACGCTTGCAGTGCGGCGAGCTGATACAGGTGATTCGCGATGGCGGCGAGGTCTTGAGGGGCAAAAAGTGTCAAGAAAATGTCGACTGGGAGTGCGAGAAGTGCGGGGCCGTGCACGAGATGGAGTGCAGCAAGCGCAAGCAGATCTCTGACGGCAGCCACAAGTTTGCATGCAAGGGCATGCGGGATATGCCTTGCTGGAACGTGGCCGCTTGCGGCTCGCAGGCGGTCACGGTGCCATGCGCCACAGAGGAGACTGCAGCGGTGTGTTGTGACCGCAGGTTGGAGTGGGTATGTTCTGCAGGCAAGCACAGGCACGTGCTGGCCCTGTGCGCGAAGGGGATCCCGCGGAGCTGCCCAGACTGCAACAGCGACGCGATTGCTGAGTCCATGAATGCGGCGCAGCACTACGCGGAGGCGACCGATGAGGACTTGGCACAGGTGCCGATGAGCGAAGACACGACGGTGCTCAAGGGCAAAATAGGTAGGAAGACATTGCGAGAGCATGCCGCTTCTCGCTTTCAAACGCTGGCCTACCTCGACACGTGTTCAGGGCTCGCGGGACTCCATGTTATGTAATCGTCCCGTTCATCCCGCCGGCCCGCACAATGTCATCGTTGCCGCGTGCCCGTCTGGTCTAAGCGACCGGGGGGGTGTTCGTGTATTCGTGGTCGACGGGAGATGTCTGGAAGGCGGTCGATGGTTTTTCAGGGTACTCTTGAGACTAAGCTGGGTTTGCACCAGATGCCTCTGTATGAGGTTTCTTGGCGTCTCTTCGGGGGCCTCTTCTTGGCGGCACTGGACCATCTGCCTCTTTGGGAGACTTCTTGGGGCCCCTTCGGATGCCTCTCGGGGTCTTCTTGGCCGCGTTGTTGTGACCTCCTGGAGCCTCTTGGGAGCTTTCTTGCCTTAGCTTTTGAGCCAGGCCATCTTGAGCCGTCTTGGAGGAAAAATTGTGCAATTGAGGTCCTTTCCGGGTGGCTGGCGGGACGGGCCGAAGCCCAAGGGGGAGGTCTTTGGGAAACAGAACCAAAACCAAAACCAAAACCGAGAGGATTCAGCACGCCAGGCACCCTTGCGACAAGCACAGGGGGCGACGGATCGAAGACGCCTACGGCGAATCACCGCCGCCCCCTGCCTTTTCTGGAAGCGCCTATGTGGCCGAACGTTGATGCCAGACCTGCCAAGCTATCGGACCATGTGTTCCCCGAATCGGTTTGGAAAGCCTTCGGGGAGCACGTGGGCATCTTGAAGGTCATCTTGGCCGTCTGGAGGCCATTTTGACCCTGTCGGGCCTTCTGGAAGAGTCTTGGAGGGCTCTTGGGCCGTCTTGGAGGCCATCTTGAGCGTCTTGGAGGCCTCTTGGACCGTCTTGGGGGCCTCTTGGGGCCGTCTTGGGCCTCTTGGGCGATCTTTGGGGGCACTTGGGCCGTCTCGGGCCGTCGGAAGGCAGAAAAAATGCAAATGCCACAATCCTTCAAACACTTTTTTTTGAAAATCAATGATTTTGATCTTTTCGGGCCTTCCTGGAGGCCCTCTCGGGTGCGTCTTGGGCCGTCGTGGGCCATCTCAGGGCCATCTTCGGTCGTTTTGGTGGGCTCCTGGCCCGTCTGACGCCGTCGGAAGCCGTTTGGGGGGCCTCTCTGGACCGACTTGGGGCCCTCTTGGAATGCTCCAGGGCCGTCTTGGAGGCCATCTTGGGCGTCTTCAAGGCCTCCTGGGCCGTCATGAGAGCCTCTTGGGGCCGTCTTGGGGGCCTCTTGGGCCGTTCTGGGGCCATCTTGGAAGCCTCTTGGGCGATCTTTGGGCGATCTTTGGGGGCTCTTGGGCCGTCTCGGGCCATCGGAATGCCGAAAAGAAGCAAATGTCAAAATTCTTCGAAAACCAAAGGAAAATAAATGTTTGTGCCCTTTTCTGGCCTTCCTGGAGGCCCTCTTGGAGGCCTCTTGGGCCGTCTTGGGCCATCTTCGTGCCATCTTCGGCCGTCTTGGTGGGTTCCGGGCACGTCTGACGCCGTCGGAAGCCGTTTGGGGGCCTCTCTGGGCCGACTTGGGGCCCTCTTGGGGCGCTTCGGGGCCGTCTTAGAGGCCATCTTGGGCGTCTTGGAGGCTTCTTGGCCCGTCTTGGGGCCCCCTTGGGGCCGTCTTGGAGGCCTCTTGGGCCCTCATGGGGCCATCCTGGAGGCCTCGTGGGCGATCTTTGGGCGATCTTGGGGGCCTCCTGGGTCGTCTGGAGCCGTCGGAAGGCCGAAAAGAAGCAAATGCCAAAATCTGTCGAAAACAATAAGGAGAGTAAGTGTTTTTGGCCTCTTCGGGCTCTCCTTGAGGACCTCTTGGAGGCCTCTTGGGTCGTCTTGGGCCGTCTTGGAGGCTTCTTGGGCGAACTTGGAGGTATCTTGGACTGGACTCTCTTGGGCCGTCTTGGAGGCCGTCTTGGACCATCTTGGGCGGACTTGGAGGCAATCTTGGAGGCCATCTTGGGCCAACGTGGCCATCTTGGGGGCCATCTTGGGCCATCTTGAACGAAAAAATGTGGAATTGGGCTCCTTGAGAGCCTTTCCGGGTGGCCGGCGGGACGCGCAGGAGCCCCAGGGGGGTTCTCTTGGAAAAGAACCAAAACCAAAACCGATAGGATCCAGCACGCCAGGCACCACTGTGATAAATCACAAGGGGGCGGCGGATAGAAGACGCCTACGGCGAATCACCGCCGCCACCTGCCTTTTTAAAACCGCCTATGTGGCCGAACGTTGAGGCCAGACCTGCCAAGCTATCGGACCATGTGTTCCCCGAATCGGTTTGGAAAGCCTTCAGGGAACACGTGGGCATCTTGAAGGTCATCTTGGCCGTCTGGAGGCCATTTTGACCCTGTCGGGCCTTCTGGGAGGACGTCTTGGAGGGCTCTTGGGCCGTCTTGGAGGCCATCTTGAGCGTTTTGGAGGCCTCTTGGACCGTCTTGGGGGCCTCTTGGGGCCGTCTTGGGCGATCTTTGGGGGCACTTGGGCCTTTCGGGGCCCTCCTGGAGGCTTTCTTGGGCCGTCTGGGGCCATCTGAAGGCCATCTTCGGCCGTCTTCGTGGGCTCCTGGCCCGTCTGACGCCGTCGGAAGCCGTTTGGGGGGTATCTCTGGCCGACTTGGGGCCCTCTTGGAATGCTCCAGGGCCGTCTTGGTGGCCGTCTTGGGCGTCTTAAAGGCCTCCTGGGCCGTCTTGGGGGCCTCTTGGGGCCGTCTTGGGGGCCTCTTGGGCCGCTCTGGGGCCATCTTGAAGGCCTCTTGGGCGATCGTTGGGCCGTCTCGGGCCGTCGGAAGGCCGAAAAGGCGCAAATGCCGCAATCCTTCAAGAACATACGTGTTTTTGTCCTTTTCTGGCCTTCCTGGAGACACTCTTGGAGCCCTCTTGGGCCAGCTTCGAGCCAACTTCGGCCATCTTGGTGGGTTCCTGGCACGTCTGACGCCGTCGGGAGCCGTCTTGGGGGCCTCTCTGGGCCGACTCGGGGCCCTCTTGGGGCGCTTCGGGGCCGTCTTAGAGGCCATCTTGGGCGTCTTGGAGGCTTCTTGGCCCGTCTTGGGGGCCTCTTGAGGCCGTCTTGGAGGCCTCTTGGGCCGTCATAGGGCCATCTTGGAGGCCTCGTGGGCGATCTTGGGGCGGTCGTGGGGGCCTCTTGGGCCGCTTGAGCCGTCAGAAGGCCGAAAAGAAGCAAATGCCAAAATTCTTCAAACATGTCTTTGGAGAATCAATGATTTTGGCCTCTTCGGGCCCTCCTGGGGGACCTCTTGGAGCGTCTGGGAGGCCTCTTGGGAGTCTCTTGGGCCGTCTTGGGCCATCTTGAGGCTATCTTAGGCCGTCTTGGGTGCATCTTGGGCCGTCTTGGAGGCATATTGGGACCATCTTAGCCGTCTTGGAAGCCATCTTGGGGCCGTCTGGGACAGGAAAACCGTTTGCAACCAGGTCTTCCGGGTGGCCGGTGGGACGGGCCGAAGCCCCATGGGGGGTTATTTTGGAAAAAGAAAAAAAAACAAAACCGAGCGGATTCAGCACGCCAGGCACCTTTGCGATGAATCGACAGGGGGCGGCAGATCGAAGACGCCTACGGCGAATCACCGCCGCCCTCTACCTTTTGGGAAGCGCCTATGTGGCCGAACGTCGAGGCCAGACCTGCCAAGCTATCGGACCATGTGTTCCCCAAATCGGTTTGGAAAGCCTTCGGGGAACACGTGGGCATCTTGAAGGTCATCCTGGCCGTCTGGAGGTCATTTTGACCCTTTCTGGCCTTTGGGAGGACGTCTTGGAGGGCTCTCGGGCCGTCTTGGAGGCCATCTTGAGCGTTTTGGAGGCCTCTTAGGCCGTCTTGGAGGCCTCTTGGGGCCGTCTTTGGCTATCTTTGGGTGCACTTGGGCCGTCTCGGGCCGTCGGAAGGCAGAAAAAAAGCAAATGCCACAATCCTTCAAAACCTCATGGGAAATCAATGATTCTGGGCTTTTCGGGCCTTCCTGGAGGCCCTGTTGGAGGCCTCTTGGGCCATCTAAAGGCCATCTTCGGTTGTTTTGGTGGGCTCCTGGCCCGTCTGACGCCGTCGGAAGCCGTTTGGGGGGTCTCTCTGGGCCGACTTGGGGCCATCTTGACTCCAGGGCCCTCTTGGTCGCCATCTTGGGCGTCTTAAAGCCTCCAGGGCCGTCCTGGGGGACTCTTGGGGCCGTCTTTGGGGCCTCTTGGGCCGTTCTGGGGCCATCTTGAAGGCCTCTTGGGCGATCTTTGGGGGCACTTGGGCCGTCTCGGGCCGTCGGAAGGCCGAAAAGAAGCAAGTGCCACAATCATTCAAACACCTGAAGAACATACGTGTGTTTGGCATTTTCTGGCCTTCCTGGAGGCCCTCTTGGAGGTCTCTTGGGCCATCTTGAGCCAGCTTCGAACCAACTTCGGCCATCTTGGTGGGTTCCTGGCACGTCTGACGCCGTCGGGAGCCGTCTTGGGGGCCTCTCTGGGCCGACTTGGGGCCCTCTTGGGGCGCTTCGGGACCGTCTTAGAGGCCATCTTGGGCGTCTTGAAGGCCTCTTGGCCCGTCTTGGGGGCCTCTTGGGACCGTCTTTGGGGCCTCTTGGGCCGTCATGGGGCCATCCTGGAGGCCTCGTGGGCGATCTTGGGGCGATCGTGAAGGCCCCTTGGGCCGTCTTGAGCCGTCGGAAGGCCGAAAGGAAGCAAGTGCCAAAATCCTTCAGAAACCTTAGGAGAACATGATTTTGGCCTCTTCGGGCCCTACTGGACGACCTCTTGGAGCGTCTGGGAGGCCTCTTGCCAACATGGCCATCTTGGAGCGTCTGAGAGGCCTCTTGCCAGGATTATGTGGGGACGCTGAGGTGGTTTACGCGGCCTTCCGAGACCCCAGCGGAACGGGTTGAAGCCCCAGGGGCAGTTATTTGGGAAAAGAACCAAAACCGATAGGATTCGGCATGCCAGGCACCCTGCGATGA